GATAAGTCCATCAGCTCCCAGGAACCAAACTCCACTGCTTTCAATTTCTGTTACATTTTTGGTCTACAGAAATGTTTAGGTTACTTTAAGCCTGGCTTTGTCTTTTGAGAATTCTTTGTTAATATTTTATCTATTATTGTTCTGTATTTAAAAGATGACCAGGGTGGACCAAAAGGTTTCATCCTATGCCCTCTTAAAAAACAAACAAACCAACTTTCTATTAAAGTAAGACATGCATACAGAAAAGTGCCAACTCAATTTTCACCAAGTGTACAGATCCATGAAACCAAAACCCTGATTAAGAAACAGAACATCACCAGCACCCCAGAAACTCCCTTCATGCCCCCTGTAGTCAGTGACCCATCCCCCACCAAGGGTAACTACTCTCCGACTTCAGTATAGTTTTGCCTGTTTTTAAATTTCATATAAATGGAATAATCTAGTATGTACTCTTTTGTGTCTGGCTTAGTTCTCTCTATACTATGTGAGATTCACCCACATTGTTGCTTGTAATTATAATTCATTTATTCTCATTGCTGTATAAGAATCCATTTATGAATATATCACACTTTATCTATCCTACTGTTGGTGGGCATTTGGATAGCTCCCAATTTGGGGCTATTACAAATAATGCTGTTATGAACATTCTGGAACAGAACATACCTCTTGGTAAACATACATACATATTTTTGTTGGGTATATGGTTAAGAGAGGAAGTGCTGCATCATTCGGGTATGCATATGTTCAGCTTTAGTAAATACCACCAGCCAGTTTTCTAAAGTGTTTGCACAAATTTATATTCCCACACTCAGTGGATAAGAGTTCCAGTTGCTCCATATTTTCACCAACACTTGGTATTTTCTCTCTCTAAAAAACTTAGCCCTTTTGCTGGGTGTATAGTGGTATCACATTGTGATTTTAATTTGCACTTCCCTGATGATTCAAGGTTGAGCACCTTTCATATACTTTTAGGCTATCTGGATAACTTCTATAAAGTCCTAGATCATGTTCTGTCCCATCTCAAAAGTCTGTTTTCTTTAAGTCTATTATTAGTATTGTTTTATTTTTTGGCATGCTTAATTTTAAAATTTTTGTGTATTTAAATCAATATTTTACTTTATGGCTTCAGATTTTGACTCATCAAAAAATAAATTCTAGACCTAAATGTAAAAGGTAAAATAACAAAGAATCAAAAAATTAGTTTTGGTTATCTGCATGACTTGGGGTAGGCAAAGATTTCTTTAAAAGGACACAAAAGCAGATCATTAAAATTTATTAAAATTAGGAATTTTGTTCATCAAAAAAACATTAAGCCACAATAATTGGCCTCTATTCACCTGGAGCAACAGAGGAAGAAGGAGAGGCAGGAATAGGAAGAGGATATGGAACGTATGGCTAACGGCCTCAATGAATAACTGTCTCCTTTGCCATTGGACCAGAAGAACTAGATGGTGCCCATTACTGAACATTTTGATCAAAGATTCCATAGAAGAATCTTGATCATAAGGGGGGAAATGCAGAACAGAATTTAAAATTCTCATGGACTCCAGACTTTCTGGAGTCATGGAGGGTGGATGTACTCCTGAAACTACTGCCTTGAGATAATCTTTAACTTAAACCAAAAATATCCCCCTGAAGTCTTCTTAAAACCAAATAATAGTTTAGCTTAACTATTCAAAAAGGTCTGCTTTGAGCATTATGCTTTTTTAAGAACTCTCTATATGGGATCAAATTGACAACAGCAACTCGAAAGATTAGATAGGAACCTTAGGGGGCAGTAAGTTTACGTTAATGAGGGAGGAAAAACTCTGAAAAAGAGGGTGAGAATAGTTGCACAACTCAAAGAATGTAATCAATGTCACTAAATTGTACATGTAGAAACTGCTAAATTGGTGTATGTTTTGCTGTGTATATTCTCAACAACAACAAAAAATTTAGAAAAAATAAGAATTTAGAAACACATAATGGTGATGGATGTACAACATGACGAACATAATTAATGTCACTGAATTTTACATGCAAAAATGTTGAAATGGCAAAAGTTTTGTTATATATTTACCATAATATTAAAAAAAAATTAAGAGAATGAAAAGGCAGGCCACAGAGTAGACGATCTTTGCTTCTAGATATATTGCAACAAAGGACTTAAATCCAAAATAACTGTATCTATCTAGACATATATATTCTTATAAATTAATAAGAAAAAGATAGTAGTCCAACACAAAGATAAGCAACCAACACTTAAATAGACACTTTACACAAAATAGGACATCTAAGTGGTGATGAGCATATGAAACGATGTTAAACATGAAAGTGTTCAGGGAAATGCAAATTAAAGCCAAATTTGCTTAAGGTCACATAGCTAGGAGATTTGAACCTATGCAGTCTGTTAAACCTCTCTTACTCTATTTACTTACCTGTAAAATGAGGGTATTACTGCCTGCCCTCAGGAATTTACAGTCTGATGGGGGAATAAGTGAAATAACAGAAAATAGATAATTATGTATGGGAAAATCCAGCCCTACAGACACAATGACCATAATTTTTTTACCTAAAAATCAGCACAAATAGTCTTATCAAAATGTTCATAAGCCTTTTGTTATAAGTTTTGTCTTGTTCTTTGTTGCCTCCCCGATGACAGGCTACATGCTGCTGCCAGATTAACGCCTTAAGGTTCTCATTGACACAGACCAGACACTTTATCTCGGTCCTATAAATCTGGCCCCATTCTATCTCTCACTGTACCCCTTTAAGAAGCTTAGCTCAGCTCATCTACTATTATCAGCCTCCTTCTCCCATGAAAACTTGTTAGTGACCCTATAGGACAGAGTAGAACTGCCCCCATAGGATTTCCAAGGAGCGGTTGGTTGATTCGAACTGCTGACCTTTTGGTTAGCAGCGGTAGCTCTTAACCACTGCGCCACCAGGGCTCCTCCCTCTCTCCATAATGGTCACCATTTATTGAATACCTCAAGAGGAAGATGTGGCAGTCTGCTTTTGTAAAGATTACATCTTGGAAATCCTATGGGGCAGTCCTACTCCGTCCTATAAGGTCGCTATGAGTCGGAATTGACAACTCTCGCCAACGAGTTTTGGTTTGCTTTCTTTGTAGGAGACTTAGCTGAAAACATAATCCCATTTAATTCCTGTCACAATTCCATCAGGTAAATATTATTTTGTCACCTAAAAGATCATTTCCATGTTACAGAAAATTGGGGTTTTGAGTGAATAAACCACATATCTGAGGTCACGAAAGTGTTCAGTGACAAAGCTGGGATTTGAAGCCAGGTCTGGCCAACTCCAAAATCCACATTTTCAATGACTGTGTCCCATTTCCCCCAGCAGCATGAACTGTTGTCTTTATGGGTCTGAAATGGATGGTCCCCTGTGGCTCCTCACGAGGTGAGCTGTTGGTGCCTTGGCACTCCCGTCTGGGCAGGTCCTGGGGGTACCTCTCCAAGGAAAAGCTCCTAAAAAGGAACACGCTGAGAAGCCGAGGGTGTAAATAGGATTTTGGAATTATTGGGGGGGGGCGTCTCTAGAACTTTCACCCAACTGCCCAAGTCCCAGTGGGTCTGACCTCTGATGAGGGAGCATCTCCTTCCGAGTTTGCATCCCATCCAAGCCCGATCCCCAGTGTGCTCATTTGCTTTCCTTCTTTTCTGATAGCACCCCCTGGCCAGAACACAGTAAACTTAGACCTGGTGCCAGTCCGACCTCCAGCCGCTCATTTCATCCGCCGACAATCTCATGTTCCAGGCTGGGAGGCTGCTCAGAAGGGGGCCAATGTTTGCTGAAGGGGGTGGGGGGTGGCTGGATCCAGTGGCCGCCCACCCTAGAAAGATTCCTCCCGTCCCTACCTGTCGAGGCAGAAGGACATGTCTGTGTCTGAAACGGCTGCTGCCTATCGAAATGACACAGAACTGCCATCAACCTGATTGGGTAGTTTCAATATTAGACATTGATTTGGGGAGACACAATGCGATGGGAGCTTGGGAGTCAGGGGTCCGTCTGAGCCCCACAATCACAGCATGGCGCTCACTGTACATCAGGCCAAGTCTACTCATTTAAGCCTCACAGCAATCCTATGAAGTAACTACTATTATTATCCACTTTTCCAGTTAGAAAATATAAACAGTAACTTTTTTTGTTACCAAGGACAACAGCTAGTAAGTACCGATTATCAGTCTGTAAACTGGGGACACAAAGCCTGTTCGACGCCCACATAACACAAGGAGTTTTGTAGACCGTCAACTCCTATGCAGTGACAGTGAATTACTATTTCTTAATCTGGAACCTGTTACAATACTCTACAGATTTTATATATAAAAACCCTTCCGATTAATTTTTTCCCTTCCACCTTTTTGGATACAGAAAGATCCTTCCAGTGGGATCCAAGGTGATGTGGGTGTGCAGAAAGTCCCGGGAAGAATTCAAAAGAAACTGGGAACCACATTGCTGTCTCCAGGCAGGGAAACTGGGCGGCTAGGGACAGGGTGGGACATATACTTTTTACTGTTCCCCGGGGCTTCTGTTTCGCAGGCGGTACGGATAAGCAGACCCCAGATCACAGCTCCGCCCCGACCCAGCCCGAACGAGAAGGGCAATACCGCTCCGGTTACGAGGGGCAAACAGGGTGCCTAGTGGCTGGGTGGCTGGCCCAGGATCTCCTAGCGAGCCGCAGCGAACGCAGGATTCTTTCGGCGACCGCACCAAGGTGAGCATTTTTAAATGCGGAGCCAGAGAGTACACACGCCTTTGCGCGGTGCTCACCTTGGCTCGCCCAGTGTGACGCGCAGCCTCCGGCGTCCGAGCGCTCACAGCCTTCGGATCCACGGGAACGCCCGCGGCGCGCACCAGGCTCCGCCCCGCCCCGCCAAATTTAAGAGCCGGCGCCGACGGCTGGGGCGATTCTCAGCCAGCGATTCTCAGTTTTGCAGGGTCTTCTCATTTGCCTCTCGCGCTCCCCTCCCTGCGCCCGTCGGGGTGAGGGCCGTGCCATGGCCAGCCCCAGGCCGCGCCGCTGCCGGCTGCCCGCTCCCTCGGGCTCCCCCGTCCAGCCCCCGCGCTCTGGCCTCTCTCCCGCGCCCCAGGCCCCGACGCTCCAGAGTCTCCCCGCTGCCCGAGGCACGCCCCTGCGTGCGGATGACCGGCGCACCCCGAGCGGCCCCGGCCGCCTCGAGTCCTCCTTTTCCGTCGACGCCATCCTGACTCGACCCGACCCGAGCGCACCCGCAGCCTCCCGGTTGTCAGTCTCCGCCTACACTGCCCCAGGTCTCTGGGCCGCTCCCTCTCAGTCACTGGGGCCGGTTCTGCCCTGGGGTTGCCCGGCAACTTGGCTGCCCGCCTACCTGGGCGTGGGTCTCTACTCGTTGTATCCCCAGTCCCCTGTGCTGCGCGCGGCTCACTTCTGCATCCTCCCACGCCTCGGCGTCACAGGTACGGGGTGCCGGGCGCCCGCGTCTGGAGAAATGGGGGGAGTGAAGAGTGGAGGCCGCGACGGTGGTCACAGGAGAAGTCCCTGAGTTTGAGAACCACAAACGGTTTGGGTGGGAAGGGTCCCTACGACCCTTGACTTTACAGTTGAAACTGAGGCCCGAGAGAAGGACTCGCTGAGACCACACCCCGGCGCGTGGCTCCCCCAGCACGCTGCTGAGCGGGTGGAAGGGGTGGGCGTGTGCAGAGCAGGGAGACTGGTGTGCTAGAGGGCGTCTTGAAAGACTGGCACGGCCGGCGCTGGGGCTACAGGAGGACCCAGCCTTGCTCTCGATCCCTACGCGCCTTGAGAAAGGATTTATACTGAGTGCCTTCACCCCCTACCACATCCCCTTTGGATAACGCTTGGTGGCGCAGACTCTTCCCCAAGGCAGCTCTTGTCCCTAACCCAAGGACCTGTCTCTGGATGCCACGGGCGGTGCTCCTCAGGGAGGTTGCTAAACCCGTTGCCATCCAGTCGATTCTGACTCATAGAGACACTATAAGACAGGTTAGAACTGCCCCATAGGGTTTCCAAGGCTGTAATCTTTACAGAAGCGGACCACCACATCTTCCTCCCTCCCCCACCCCCCAGCAGCTGGTGGGTTCCAACCGCTAACCTTTCAATAAGCCGCCAGCACTTAACCACTGCACCACCAGGACTCCTTAGGGAGGTTGCTAGGAGCTGGCAAATGCTCAGACCCCAGTCCTGCCTTGCTGCTCACAATCGATGGACTCTACTCAACTGCTCTGAGGCCACTCACTCATAGCGCTCTTAATGCTACCTAAGGGGCAGGGAAGGGACTCAGGTGTGCCAGGCACTTAAATCCCAGCAAGAATTGAACTGTTGAGGTAACTTTCTCTTCCAGCATCAATATCCACCTACACCAGCTTTTGCCATCTTTTGCTGCCTGGTTCATCACTTTCTCATGTCCCCAATAAGGAAAACAGGAGCAAAAATTGTTCAGGCCTTATACACCCAACTTCTGAAACTCCGATGTCTTAGTTACCTAGTGCTGCCATAACAGAAATACCACAAGTGGGTGGCTCTAAAGAACAGATACTTATTTTCTCACAGTTTAGGAGGCTAGGAGACCAAATTCAGTGCTTGGCTCTGAAAGGAGATCTTTCTTTTCTATCTCAGCTTCTAGTAGCCAGCAATCTTTAGACTTCCTGGGCACGTACTGTATCTGCTATGTGCATTTGTCTTCATATGGCACCTCCCCCCCATAGGGTTTCCAAGACAGTAAATCTTTAGAGATGCAGATTGCCACATCTTTCTCCCATGGAGCGGCTGGTGGGTTCAAACCATTTACCTTAAGCAGCCAAGTGCTTTAACCCCTGAACCACCAGGGCTCCTTATTTATAGGTACAGGGGTTAGAATTTCAACACGTTTTGGGGGAACACAATTCAGTCCATAACATTCATGAAGACAGAGATTTTCTGTTTTGTTCTGGAACCATGCCTGACACATAGTTGGCATTCAAAAAAGTATTTACTGAATGAGTGAACAGGGTGAACCCCTGGAGGTCCCTTCTTTGCTCATCCCATGGGGGCAAGGAGATACAGAGGTTTGGCAGCTCCTGTGAGGGGCCAGAGGTTAAGCCACACAGTAGAGAGTAGCGGAAGCAATACTCAGCATTGTCCCTTCTTTCTCATTTATTTGTTTTCTGTTATTTCTGTCCACTCGCTCCCTACTCTGCCTTCTTGCTGTATGACTTGGCCAAGGGGAAGGCAGGGCAGTGGAACCGTGTGCTTGTTCTCTTTTTTCCAAGACGGGTGGATGGGTAGGTGCTGGCTAACTTCCCTTCCTGATGCTTGCTCTTTAGGCTTGGAGCTGACTCACTGCCTAGGCCTCTGGGACCCCCCCGACTGGTCCCCAGCAGAGGATCTTCATGACACTGATCGACGAAAGAGGGTTAGAACTATGTTTAACTTGGAGCAGCTGGTAGAGTTGGAGAAAGTGTTTGCAAAACAGCACAATCTGGTGGGGAAGAAGAGAGCCCAGCTGGCAGCCCGGCTCAACCTTACAGAGAACCAGGTGGGAGCAGGTGATCTGATGGGGCCTGGGCTGCACTTGGGGACGGGCACTACTTTCTGGGAAGGCCGAAGTGGGAGGGACATGGGCCTTCCTCCTCTGTGCCAGGCCATTGGGGGAGACAGCCCCTAACCGTTGGCATACTCCCTATATGATGAGAAAAACAGTCCCATTTGAAATTACCTTATGGGAACAACATAAAATGTTAATCCAGATATTAATCTAGAACTTTGTAATATTTACATGCTAAATAAGGAGCAGACATTCAATTTAAGTAGGTGTTCAAGGGACTAGATAGTAAAAAATAATAGTAAATATTCCCTTGACCCCCATATTGTCCTCCAGCTATTGTACCATTTCTCTGCTTCTTTCATCGGCAAACTTCTCAAGAACTTTCCTCATTCACTGCCCTGTTCGCTGCCCCAACTCATTCCAATATAACTTCTTTTCCTACTCTTCCATCAAAGCTTCTCATCAAGGTCTCTAATGACCTCCGTATTGCCAAAGCCAATAGATACTTTCCTTTCCTCATCTTACTCCCCACCCATCAGCACTCAATGCAGTTGACTGCTCCTTCCTCTACTGAAACACACTCTTGACTTCCACGACACCATGTTCTCTTGGTTTTCTTCCCAGCTCTTTGGCCATTTCTTTCTTGTTTGCAGACTACTTTTTCACTTTGTGACCTCACAATCTCATTCCAGCTGACCTCATCTACTCCCAGCTGACTCATCTAGATGGTTTAAATACCATCTACAAGCTGACAATTCCCAAATCTGTCATTTCTCTTCTGACTTGTACATTGTCTCCACTTGGATGCCTTATGGGCAGGCATTTCAAATGTAACAAGTCTAAACCTCAATTCTTGATTTTTTTTTTCTTCCCAAGTCTGTTCCTTTCCTTCTAAATGACCCCACCATCTACCCAGTTGCTCAAAAACCTACTCATCTCTGATTCCTCCTTCTCCCCCACTTCTAGTCCATCAGCAAGCCTCGTCACCTCCACCTCCAAAATACAGCTGGAATCTATTCATGTCTCTCCATTGCCCCTGGTTCATACCACCCACGGCTCTCGCTGGATTACAGCAATAGTGTCCCAACTGTTTCCTTGCTTCTGCTTTAATCCATTCTTTACACAGTAGCCAGACATGCAGTTTTCATAAAATGTCAATAAGATTATGTCACATCTCACTTATGAAGCCTCAAAGTGGCCTTCAAAGTCCTTGGTGATCTGACTCCTGCTAACCTCACCTACTTTCCCTCCCTTCACTTTCCTCTCACAGATTTTGGCCATGCTACCCTCCTTTCTGGTCCTCAAACACTGCAAGCTTGGTTCTACCTCATAGCCTTCCTACAGGTTGTTCCCTGCCCTGCTCTTGTCTGTCCCGACTAGACTGACCTCTCATTCTCTAAGCCTTGGCGTAAGTGCTGGCTCCTCAGGGGGGTTCCTCCTACCCAGCCCCTGTTCCTACCTTGGTCTGTGTTTATATATTTCTTTGCTTGCATGTTTGGTATTAGTCTTCCTCCACCAGACTGTGAGCTCCATGTGTCTCTTGCTCACCACTGTATCACCATCACCTAGGAACATGCCTGGCACATAGTAGGAGCTCATTAGATACTTACGGAATGAATGAATGGTGACTGGAATTATAGGAAAGAGTGTTTTGGAGAGATGCTTCCTTTAGAAGAAGGAACAAGTTTTTGCCAAGCAGAGAGAGGTGGGCACACCAGGAGTGGGGGTAGGGGGAGCAGCAGGAACTGCTGGTCTCATTCTGATCTCTGCCCAATGCCCCCAATTCAGGTGAGGGTCTGGTTCCAAAACCGCAGGGTCAAGTATCAGAAGCAGCAAAGGCTGAAACTGCTGGCCCCATCTGCCATGGCTGCCTCTCCGGATGAGCCCTCCAGCAGCTCCGACGCCAGGACCCAGAGTGAAGACACTGAGTCAGGAATAGACAGCTGAGGACTGGCCAGAGCCTCTACCAGGGTGTCTGGGCTTGTTCTTCCTGGAGCACCCACTGGACTTCCCTGTCCCACATGTGGATTTCACTTACCAAAGAGCCTTCTCAGAGCCAGAGGGCACCTGAGGAATCTGCTCTGTCAAGGGACTCCCTTTTCTGAATAGATTCCTCGGCGGCTAGAGTAATGTAATGGTCAGAGGCAGGTTACTGAACTTCTGAGCCCTTTTTTCTCTGTGTAATGGGTGTGCTAATAATTTATACCTTACAGGGGTGAGGTGATGTCTGTGAAGCACTTAAAATGTGCCAGGCCCAGCGCTAAGTGTGCAGCAACTGTTGAGGCTTTTCTCGGCCCTCCTCATCTGGGGGAGTGCTGGTGCTGCACCAGCCGTTCTTCTCAGAGATTAATCTTCTCCTGGCCTGACTGTGGGGAAGGGGCCTCCTTGAATAAGGGCTGGTGGGGTCAAGAGCAAGGAGGAGGCAAAGACAGACCACTCTGTGCCCTTCTCCTCAGTGTCTTGAAGTTTTCTTGTTTTATCTGAACTGTTACCACTGTTAGAAGGAGCTCAGGCCCAGCTGCCTTCTTGGAACAGACATGCTACCCTGATCACCCTCCAGCTACCTGCCTCGACTCCCTCCCCGTCTTTATAGAGGATGGAGAAATTTGACTGTCTTTGCAAGGCTAGCATTTTATCATAAACTCTGCTGTATTTTCACAAGAGGGTTATTATTTTCCCCCTTTCACGACCCTGACTCATGGATCCCATTCCTTCCAAGGAATCTGCTCACTTTCTCCCTAAAAAGCCTGGCTGATAGCCAACCCCTTTGAGGCCGGCCACCAGCATTTCCAGAGCTCCACATTTCTGGGCCAGTCTGTTTTGAGAGTATTGATTCAGAATCTGGAATGGCTTCTGGTGGTGGAGGTGAAGAGGCGTATCTGTGCTGGAAGGAGGCCTGCCCTGCTGCCTGGTGGTAAGAGAGGGCACCGTCCCCAGCTGCTGTCAGTGCAGCAGATTCTGAAGAAGAAAGGCAGGGAGCAGTCCTATCTGCTCTCAAGGCAGTGGACCATCCTCTCCTGCACACCAGGTTGCAGACTTGAGGGGAGGCTGGGGTCCAGCTTCAAGAACGCTTCTCTGTCCCTGTCCTTCAGGGAAATCCTTCCTAATGCTGGAGTCTGTTAATCAGAGGAACCCAACTGCATCTACTTCTTCCAGGAGTGACTGGTTCAACTTTTTTTTTTTTTTTTTTTTTTTGGTAAATGAACAGTCAGTTACCTATTTGGCAGTTAGTGGGCTCCACCCGACCCCCAGATGTCACCATGAGACCATAGTAGATGCTGACACAGGTGCCTTCTCGAGGGGCACAGAATCAATTGAGGGACAAGGAAACACAGTAACAAGGTGCCGTGGTCAGGCCAGGCCAGGTTGTGGGGACAGGCACTATATATACATCAGTGGTTTGCAGCGTTTTGGGGATTCTGAATGAGAGAACAGGCCTCTGCCCTGATATGCTCAGGATAGTGTGCACAGTCAATTCTGCATACAATTTCAGGGGTCCGCAGATCCCTTGAAGTCCACCATGGAGCCCTTCACCACCCCTAGGCTGACAGTGAAGAGTCTGAGAGAGGCAAAAGTCCAGCTTGAGCTTTAATAGGACTGCCTACCCCACTGTCAAATGGTTCATAGGATGGATAGGCGGCGTCGGTGAGCCCCACGGTGAGCTTCAGGTTGAGGGTACGTGGACTCGGGCACAGAGACACATCAAAACAATACACGCACAGACGGTCTGATACAGACGTACATACTAGCCACGAAGACACAGAAAAGCACAAAGGCAGGCGCAGCTACACACAATCCACTAACCAATCAACCTAACGCATAAAGACAAAACGGACCTAAACCGAAAGGCAAACCCTCCCGGCCTCTAGCACACGGGCGCCAGGGGTGGGGCTAGGGAGGGGAGGGGCCTCCCGGGTCGACGCGGGGTCAAGGGTCAGGAGGCGCCGGCGCCGGCGCCCCCAAGATGGCGGCCTCCATGTGCGACGTGTTCTCTTTCTGCGTGGGCGTGCCGGGCCGGGCCCAGGTGGCGGTGGAAGTCCGCTTCGTGAGCAGCTCCAAGGTGAGGCCGAGGCGGGCCCCGCCGGGAAACCCCATCCCGTCCGGCCTTGGAGACAATCCCCCGGGATCCCAATCCTGGAGCCTAGAGGCTCCTCTGCCGCTGAGATACTGCGGCCCAGGTCCTGTTCGCGGCCCGGAGGCTCCCTGCCGGTCCCCACGCGCAGGCTCGGGGCGCGGTCACGCGGTGGACGGGGGCCTCCGGAGTCTCCGTGCGCGACCCCTCCCCGCAGAACTGGGCCTGCAGGTCAGCAGCCCTGCTATGGCTGCTAGGTAGGGGCTGGGGAACATTGCTGCTGGGCCTTGGGAGCGGTGGGTGGGTACGTGCTGAGCAGAGAGAACTGAGGTACCAAAAAGCGTGGGTCTTAAGGAAACTTTCTGAGTTGAGATTTGGGCGGGGGTGCGGTGGGGTGAGGAGAGAGGGCAGGACCCTTCAGGAAGGGCCTTAGAGTACATATAATTTGGGCTGGAGTCCAAAGGCCGTGGGAGCATTTGAAAGGTTTTTAAGCGGGGTAGTGACATGATTTTATCCTTTTTATTATCGTGCTTTAAAAGTTCATCGTAGAAAAAAATAGAAATGCACATAAGAAAAGATAAAAATAATTCATAATTTTATCATGCAGAGATTTTTTTTTCAGATTTTTCTATATTTGTTGTAAAAATGGTGCAGTGGAGGCACCTGACCTCTGACTTCACAAGGGGGAAGGAGCATCAAGACCAGCAGCCCAAGGCCCATCATATGAGGTGAAGGTTGGACATACTGCCCTTTCCAACATTTTTACCAATTCTGATACCAGCCATCCCTCCCACAGCACTCTTTACTTCTCTGCTGGGTTCCATATTTCTTTGCAGTGGCCACACAAAACTTACAGACAATACTCACGGTTATGGAGTTTATTAGGGAAGTCACCAAACCAAACTAAACCCACTGCAGTCAAACAGATTCCGACTCATAGGGACCCTATAGGACAGAGCAGAACTGCCCCATAGGGTTTCCAAGGAGTGGCTGATGGATTTGAACTGCCGACCTTTTGATTAGGAGCCGATTTCTTAACCACTCCACCACCAGGGCTCCATTAGGGAAGTAACAGGTTACAATTCATGATCAGAAACAACTCAGGGTATAGTTCTTCCATCAAGACAGCTGCTCCACTGTGCCCACAGGCTGGCCTCTCCCTGGCCCTTGGCCCCTGAGCCAGGCATTTGGGCAAGTGTTCCAAAGCTCTTTAGCTCCACTGTCAAGTGCGTGGAGGCACCCCACTCTGCCAGGAAGCCTCCTGCCTGAAGGCGCTTAGCTCTCTCGCTCTGTGGGCCAGGAAGCCCACTGTGCCATCTCTTGCTGGTCTTCTGGTTGTGCTGCCTCTGCTGCTGCTGTTTCTCTGCCACTGCTTCTCGCCATCTCCGGTGTTACAGCTCTCTCTGTCTCCTGGGTCTAGGAGGTTCTCGGCGCAGGGATCCCGGGCCCAAAGGACGCACTCCACTCCTAGCTCTTCTTTCCTGGTAGTTGTGAGGTCCCTTTCTTTCCCCCTCTTGGATGGCTCATTTTAAGCTTAGTGGAATGGCAAAACTGACCAATCCCCTTGTTAGGGTTCCATATACTTTAATTGCATGGTCCCATGCCCACAAGGGTGCCATGCACCTTATTTGCGTTATCAGCAAGCTGTTCAATCCCCTTGGTGGGCCACAAGCAACTTATTTACATAGCCCCACCCAATCATTTGGTGGGAGTTATAAGATCGTGGCAAGAAAGGCCATATAAAAATGATTCATTACACTTCACTTGTACAAATACATATATGTATATATTCAAATTGTATTTTTAGAAATGGTTTTTGATGAAAGCCCTGGTGGCACAGTGGTTAAAGCTCTCGGCTGCTAACCGAAAGGTTGGTGGTTTGAGCCTACCAGCCACACTGAGGAAGAAAGATGTGGTAGCCTGCTTCCCTAAAGATTACAGCCTTGGGAACCCTATGGGGCAGTTCTACTCTGTCCTGTACGGTCACTATGAGTCAGAATTGACTCACCTGCAAATGGTTTGGTCTGGGTTTGGCTTTTTGAGGCAGGAATAAATCTTTCACTGTCAATGAAACTGTTTCTATGTATTAATTTTTTAAAGCTGAGTAATACTTTATTTTATGACAGGACCACAGTTCATTCAACCAACCCCTTATTTATGGACAGTATGTTTTGTCTAATGTTTCACTTGGGGGGCAGGGTCAGAGGTCTTGGAGCTTAATTTATGTGCACACACGTGTGTTCTCTCCAGTGCTGAGTATTTTCTTACCTACTTATCTTTGCCAATTAATATGTGCAAAATGGTATGGTTTTGCTGTCATTTACAACGTTTTGTTTGGTGGGATTGAATAATTTATCATGTATAGTAACTGTGTGTATCCTTGGTCCTTGCCCAAGATGCCAGCCCTCTGGTCATTTGTTTCCTGATCACATCATCTTCATACTGATCCAGTTCCTCAGCCCAGCTTTCCACTCCAGAGGCTTCTGGAGCATTCCTCTCTGTAAATCAGCCCCCCTACTTCCTGGTCTCCTTACCTGCTCACATCACCCACCTCCACCCCAGGGCCTCTAGTGCTCCTGGTTGATTTCAGCGACCACATGCCACGTCAGCCCGCAGTGTGATGGTCTTTCAGGTTCTTGACTACTAGTGTGCAGTGATAGTCACCTTTACTTCCACTTAGCCTCCTAATTCTCGGCCTCCTCCTCTCTTCACTTCTTCCTTATCACTTCATCACTTCAGCTGCTCCACTTACCCGATTATCCTGTCCTAGCCTTCTATCAAAACCCCAGCTCTGGAAGAATGAGCTGGGTGCTCTCTCCATGCCTGCACCTGATCTGCTGCTGGAGAAAATCACATACCCACCCTGACCTGGTAACAACATGGATTATTCGGGGTTTTTTGCATCTGTATTCATCAGGTGGGATTGGTTTGTGATTATTTTTGCCTTGTGCTGTCTTCCTCAGATTACCACATCAGGTATGCTTTTTTTTTTTTTTTTTTTATAAAATGGAGAAGCTTTTCATTTTTTGTTATCAAATAGTTTAAATACCATGAGAAATACTTTGAAGGTTTGAGAGAGCTGGCTGATGAAATCATATAGACTATGGGCCTCCCGTGGGGTTAGTTTTTGACTACTTTCTCTATTGCTTCAGTGAACATTGGCAGGAATGATTTTCAAAAATTTACCAACTATTGTGCAGAGGCATGACCACTCAGAACAGAAACCTGATGGTATGGTCAGGAAGACAATCAAGGCTGTGGCCACAGCTTGGCGTGGTGGTTTTGTTTCTCCTCTGCTCCTCTACCACTCTATCTACTGCTGGATAGACTCTCAGAGTTGTTCACAGACTCAGATTTGTGGCTCATGGGTTGCTCAGGGCCTGTCCTGTAGACACATCTCTGCTGTTCTGAGCATGGGAGGCATCCGTATCTGGCCAGGGTGCCCATGCTAGGAGAAAGCGGGCCCATTTGGGAGGCCACGGTACAGCAGGACACTTCACTGCCATGTCAGTTTTCTTTTCTGCCTTTGTTATGGGAGCTCAGTGTTGGTGGGGGCACCATCCCTGTTCTCTAAGTGAACAGTGGGAGTTAGTACCCTGCTGGGCCCACAACTCCGCCTGGATACTGAAGCTATCTCCTGAGTCCTTTTGCACATTTGAGAGATGGCAATTTGAAGATTGTTTTCTCATCTTTCATCCTTACATGATGTATACAGTGCTTTACCAGTGTTTCTCAAACTTTAACATGCATATGAATCACCTGGGCATTTGTCAAAATGCAGATTCTGATTTAGCAGGTCTGTGGTGGGGTTCAAGGTTCTGCATTTCTAACAATCTCAGGTGATACTGGTGCTGCCGGTTCATGGACCTCACTTTGTTTTGTTTTTATTGTGCTTTAGGTGAAAGTTTGCAACTCAGGTATTTCTCATACAAAAATTTAAACACACATTGTTATGTGACCCTAGTTGCAATCCCCACAATGTGACAGCACACTTCCCCTTTCCATCCCGGGTTTCCCGTATCCATTCAAACAGCTCCTATCCTTTTCTGCCCTCCCATCCCATCTCCAGACAGAAGCTGCCCATTTAGTCTCGTGTATCTACTTGAACTAAGAAGCACACTCCTCACAAATTATTATTTTATGTTTTATAGTCCAGTCTAATCTTTGTCTGAAGAGTTGGCTTTGGGAATGGTCTCAGTTCTGGGTTAACAGAGAGTCCAGGTGCCATGCCTTCTGGGGTTCCTCTAGTCTCAGTCAGACCATTAAGTCTGGTCTTTTTATGTGAATTTGAATTCTGCACCACACTTTCCTCCTGCTCTGTCAGGGACTCTCTGTTGTGTTCTCTGTCAGGGCAGCCATTGGTGGTAGCTAGGCACCATCTAGTTCTTCTGGTCTCAGGCTGATGGAGTCTCTGGTTTATATGGCCCTTTTGTCTCTTGGTCTAATATTTTCCCTGTGTCTTTGGTGTTCTTCATTCTCCTTTGCTCCAGGTGGGTTGGGACATGGATCTCACTTTGAGTAGCAAGGAGCTAGAGCTCATGAGGTGCATTCACCTGTACTATGTCTTTGCACCTGGTAGGTGTTATAATACTCATTTTTCACATGGGAGACAGATGCAAAGAAGTGAAGCGACAGGCTCAAAGGCTCACAGCAGGTTAGCATTAGGACTGGTGCTAGGATTAGCTCATTCCTTTAGTGCAGCACCTGACGACTGCTAGGTCCTGTAGATACCCAGCTGACAGGGAAGTAGAGCACTCTCCCCTAAACTAGGCCTCCCTCTCCCGTGGTGTGGGATTTCTCTGCAACCCTGAGCAGCAGTAGCATCACTGCCAGGATCCTGGAGGGGTATATGGGTGACTGAGAGAAGGCTGCCCTACTGTCACCAGCTCCTGGTACCAGAGACTCAGCTTGCTATGAGCCTTGGCGCTGCTCTGGCCATTCTAAAAATTCTGAGTATTCTGAGCTGGTGCCATGGAGGCTCCATCCCTGTCTCAGTCCCTCTGCTCTGAATGTGTGTCTTCAAGAGGTGTGACTGAAAGTAGGTCAGAGCTGCATTTCCAAAGGAGGCATTTATGGAGGGTGCTGACCATTCTCCATGAACTCTCCAGAGGCAGAGGCCTCTGCTGAGAGGGAGGCATGGAGGGGTAAGGCTGATGGTCCTCTGGGTGCCCTTGGAGCTATGTCCTCTGTCCCTTCTAATGGCCATCCTATCCCCTCTCTGCCCTCAGGGAAAGGGGCTGTTTGCCAAGCAGCTGATCCGGAAGGGGGAGACCATCTTCGTAGAACGGCCTCTGGTGGCTGCACAGTTTCTCTGGAATGCACTTTATCGCTACCGAGGTGAGCACATCTCCTTACCGACTCCTCACGGTTGCTGGGCCCAGTCACCTTTGTGCATGGGAAGAGTGGTGCTTACACCCCTACTAACTGATGTCTCTGGGACTCGGGGTGTTTGGGAGGAGATGGCCTCCTTGCGTCAAGAGAAATGTGCCTGAGAACCACGCCTCTGTCCAATCTCAGGCCATTTGAGGCTGTGTGCTACAGTGGAGTGGTCTTCCCAGTGTGCTCCCTCGGTGGAGGACTGTCACTTAGGCAGAACTCAGAGTCTGGCCCCGTAGGACATCATGCTGAAGGGCTCTGTGGCCAAGTGGAGCCCCCATCAAGAGGAGGACGTGTGGCTCTTGGTCAAAGAAGGCCAAGTTAGGGCTCAGAAGCAAGTTGGATGCCCTGAGCTTATAGCCACATACTTTTTTTACACTTTTCTTAGCTTAGAGCTCATCTATGAAAGGCAGGTCAGTTGATCCCAGAGTGTGGGGGAAAGCCCAGTATAGAGGACAGGGAGAGCCCTACAGACTGAGTCCTGGTGAGGAGCAGGGAGTCAGACAGGAGGGGTGGGGGCTTCTGAGAGGGAGGAGGTGAAATCCATTCATTCATTCCATTCATTAATGTAGTCATTCATTCACTCACTTTCCCAACTTTTATTGAGAACCTGCTGTGTGCCAGGCACTGGTAAGCCCTGAGGATACTGCTGTGAAAAGCACAGACGTGGCCTCTGCTCTCGAGACACTTACACGGTCACTTTGGGCTCTCACCCTCAGCCTGTGACCACTGCCTTCGGGCACTGGAGACGGCGGAAGAGAACGCCCAGAGGCTAACCGGAAAACCAGGCCAGGTTCTGCCTCACCCAGAGCTGTGCATCGTACGGAAGGACCTCCACCAGAACTGTCCCCACTGCCAGGTGAGCATCCCTGGGCGGACAGAGGAGGCCTTAGCTGATCCTCTTGGGAGAGACAGGAGAACAGACCTGGTCGTGGCCCTTGAGGATCACAGTAGAGGGTAAGACATTGAAAAGATCAGTTATTGTTTCAGTCTCATCCTCCCTGTTCGAGTTCCATTGTCTAGAAAGTGGGCTTGGTGGGAGCTTGCTGTCTTCCTTCAAGCCCCTCTTGCCTCTCTGCCTGGCAGGGGTTTTCCCATCTACCTGAAAAGCTGTCTTCCCTTCCTGTGGTTCTCCAAGCCTGGGGTAGGTGCCCTCTCCCAGTCCCAGAGGACCCTGTGCTTGCTCATCTCATAACCACTGAGCTCCTGCTCAGGGCCTGTTTGTGGGAGGAATGCAGTTAGCGGAGGTAACACATGGATGGCTGTGCCTCATCCCCCCTCAGCCCATGGCCAGCTCCCAGGTGCTGACCTCCTCCCCACCTGACAGGTGATGTACTGCAGTGCAGAATGTCGGCTGGCAGCTGCTGAGCAGTACCACCGGGTCCTGTGTGCAGGGCCGTCCCAGGATGACCCCCTGCATCCTCTCAATAAGCTGCAGGAGGCATGGAGGTAAGTAGAAGTTCCTCTCTTCTTTGCTTTCTCTCTCTCTCCCTGCCTGCCCTCAGCTCAGCAGCCACCTTTAAGTTACCATCCCCACCTCTGATTTTTCCTTCATTCGTAGGGTTAAATGGAGGCCATAGTACCCAACCCCCTGCCTTTAACCTGAGCTGCCAGTCCCACCATCCTCGACATTTTACGCACTCCCACAAAGGTCCTCAATAAGCCCATAAGGATGCAGAGTCCCGCCCAAGTGCCTGCCTGTATCTTTCTCTCTTTGGTTATAAATGGAATTGGTATGAAGGGTTCTTTGTAGCAATCAGACTGGGCCTCCCAGAGCTCAGCTACAGGGGAAGGAGTTTTTAGGCCAACCTTTTTTCTTTCCCCAGGAGTGTTCACTATCCGCCTGAGACTGCAAGCATCATGCTGATGGCCCGGATGGTGGCCACGGTGAAGCAGGTGAGCCCGCTGGCCCCTCCTGGGGAGTTGGCTCTGGGCCCATTCAGCCCTTGGCCTCAGTCCCCTCCTCACCTCAAGGCCCTGGCTTAGATGCAGAGTACTGCCTGGCTTCCCAGAGAGCTGCTTGCTCCGTAAAACCTTAGGAGCCCACTGACTGTAAATCAGGCATAAGGAGTGGGAGAGCAGGGGCTCATTTTCCCTGTTGTCTTTGATCTCTGGGAGGACTTGTTAGGCAGTAGAAATTCATGCATTTGATTTATAGGTACCACCTTGTCAGGACTGTGTCTCTCACACAAAGTGAGACCAGCCACTTTAAAAACCCCTTCTATCAATATTGTGGTTTCTTAGCCTTATTTTCCCAAGTATGGGTGTATTGATGAGCTTGGCTCCAGAAGGGGAAATGGTTAGAGTGGGCAGGGTGGAGAGGTGTCTGTGAGTCCATGTGGGTGTGTGCACACATGTGCACGGGTGAATGTGACCCTTCAGTATATTTGTTCACTGCAGGCTAAGGATAAAGATCGTTGGATCAGGCTCTTTTCCCAGTTCTGTAACAAAACAGCCAATGAGGAGGAAGAAATTGTCCACAAACTCCTGGGGGACAAATTCAAGGTTGGTCTTCTCCTATGACCCCCCTGCCCCCGGTAGCCTGTGATGGCTACCTGAGGGGAGCCTCACATTTGTGCCCTTCCCAGCCACAGGAAGGGGTTAGAGCTTGAGTCCAAAAATCAGTTGTAAAGACGTGTATTCCTGTTACTATTTAACTTCATGACCAGTGGCCCAAAATTGGGCAATGAGGAAGTGGGGTGGTAACAGAGGAATGCAGGGCCAAGTACCCTGTCCTGAAAATGCTCTTTTCTCTGATGTGGGAAGGCAGGACCCCCATGACAGGATAACCAGTTGCCATCGAGTCGATTCCAACTCATGGGGACCTCGTGTGTCAGAGTAGAACTGTGCTCCACAGGGTTTTCAATGGCTGACTTTTTGGAAGTAGATCACCAGGTCTTTCTTCTAAGGCGCCTCTGGGTAGACTCATACCTCTAATCTTTCAGTTAGCAGCTGAGCACATAACCGTTTGCACCACCCAGGGATTCCTCATGATAGGACAGCAGTGAAAACATCAGGTATAATAGAAAATTGAGGGTTGGTTGGTGTCTCATAGAATCCAGGAGCAGTATGAAACACAATTTTAACTGCCAATTTATTGAGTGTCCACTTCCAAAGAATTACTAATTCTTGCTGAGGACACCAGACTTCCATGCAGGAGCTGCCTGAGGGTGGAGGCAGTTGTGTGGAAGGGATGCTTCTAAGATGGGCCTTCCAGCATGGAATTCTGAAGGTGGGGGGGCGCTGAGCTGGCCTAGAGGCCAGGTTAGGGGAGCCTGGAGGTTGGTGGTAAGGACTAGGCTAGACCTGCTGGTTCAAATGCTGGAAAATAGGGACAACTTTGGGGTTTGCCACCTTGGGTTGGAGCAGTCCAGTGGATTGCCAAAGCTGTCTGGAGATAAGGACTCTGTGGCCTTCCTTTGCCCCCAGGGAAAGCTCAGTCTACAGAGCTGGCCCTTTTTCTTTCCTCACCTGGTCTTCTGGGCCCTGCTGGGTGCTATAGGGAAACCCCCAGGGATGCAAGTCTCTCCCTGCTTCCCCTAAACCAGGGCCAGCTGGATCTTCTGCGGAGACTCTTCACAGAGGCCCTGTATGAGGAAGCACTCAGCCAGGTGAGTGTGGAGAGGATAGGCCGTGGCCTCCCAGTCACTCCAACTCTCCAGAAGCAACTGCGCTCAGCCTCTCCTACTGGGACCACTGAGCCAGAGCTGAATTGGCCTTCTGGAGTTGGGGTGGGAGTCACTCACAGAAGACCTCCTGAACAGAGAGTTGAGTTGGTCTTCTGGAGTTGAGGTGGGAGTCACTCACAGAAGACCTCCTGAACATAGAGTTCCATCAGGAAGAAAAACAAGTGGCTGTAACCCGTGTTCATCTCCTCTCTTTCTCCCCTGCAGTGGTTCACTCCAGATGGATTCCGGTCTCTCTTTGCTCTTGTTGGGACCAATGGCCAAGGAATCGGGACCAGGTTAGGAGAGAATGTTGCAGGGCTGTCGGCCTTATCCTTCAGGGCTCAGGTGGGAGATGGACTGAGGAAGGTAGAGACAGCTCCTTTAAAGACAGAGTGGGGCAGGATGTGACTTTGTGACCAGAGCACTGTACTGGACACAGTGGGGGGAGTCAGAAAGAATGAAGTGGTAGAGGCTGTTCTTGGGGGCCTTGATCTGTTAGGGAAAATGGGTCCCCACCCTTGAGAAAGACACAGGGTACGGGTGGGAAACTCTTCCACCTGGGCTTAACTTGCCTGGAAGTGGAAAGCCCTGTGACCTGGCCTCCTCCTCCCTGACCCTGGGCTGCCTGGGACCGCTAGTTCCCTGAGCCAGTGGGTGCATGCCTGTGATGCTCTGGAGCTGAAGCCTCAGGACCGCGAACAGCTGGATGCCTTCATTGACCAACTGTACAAGGACATTGAAGCAGGTAGGTGAGATGGGGCCTTGGTCTCACCCAACTTGAGACCTCCCCAGTCAGGTGGTGTACACATAGTCCTCTCCCAGGGAGCTCTAAATGAATGGTGGGGAAAGTAATCCCTGTGTGGGTAGCCTCAGATCTGTCCACAGGACACGTGGACAAGAAACGGCCTGAGATCTGGGCAGAGGCTCAATGCTGCGGGGAGGGGTGCTGGACAAATTGGGTGATATTGTTTAAAGAAAAGCCAGGTTTGGCCTCAGAGGAGCAAGTTTAGGTAAAATGGTGGAGACCAGGTGCATCAGTGTGGTGGGGCCGCTGGACAGTGGAGCCAGTCCCTGTCCTTGTAAGCTAGTTCCCTTTTCCCACCTTTAAAATGGGTTGAATAATGCCTGCATATTACTGTCTTACAGCAACTGGCGAGTTTCTTAACTGTGAAGGATCTGGCCTCTTTGTGCTTCAGAGCTGCTGTGAGTCACCGGGTCCCGGGGGCATTTCTGCCTTTGCCGAGTGGCCTCAAAGCCACAGTTAATTTCTCAGTTGGAATTGAGTTAGGTCTGAGCTTCGTTGAGGATTTCCCTGGGGCCTTTTTGTGCCATCATTTTTCCATTCATCCATCCATTCATTCGACTGATTGTGCTTTAGTATATGTTCATATATAATACCTTCCAGCAGGCCAGCCCCTGTGCAAAGGCAGGGCACAAAGCTCTGATTCTTGCAAAGGGAAGCACGGGCTTTGGGCCATCACTGCCCTGGGAGATTTGGCAGGGGAGTGTTGGGAGAGGCTGGGAGGCCCGCCCTCAGGATCCTGGGAAGAGGAAGCTCATCAGCACTTGATGAGAGGGGAGAGCCAACTGCCTTTTCCAGATCTCAGCCTCCTACTCTCTGGCTTCCTCACTGCAAACCCTCTTCCCCAGGCTACAGGGCCACTCCACCCCTCCCAAGCTGGGCTTTCAAAGGGCCTGGCTCAGCTGTTACAAATGTCCAGTGGCAGACAGAAGTGTTCAGGGCCCTGGTCCTCCTTCTCGAGACACTGGCAAACTAAGAATGAGGTCGGCCCGTGAGGAGGAGAGCAGGAGAGTCATAGGGGGTGGGAGGGGCAGTGTTGTGCAGTGATTGTGCCTGTGTCTGTGGCCTTCAGAAGAGAGCACTGGATGGAGACTCAGGACATGTGGGGCAGGGGTCAGAAAACAAGAGGATGGGACCCAGTGCTTGGCCCATTGACACTTGTTATTTTTATTAGCTAGTAATCATCATTACCTGCCTCTCCTGACCCAGGCAACCACAGCTGTGTTCCCAATGCAGAGACCTCCTTCCCAGAAAACAATTTCCTTTTGCATGTCACCGCCCTGGAGGATATTCAGCCAGGAGAGGTGAGGGGGCCAGGAGCTCTGGAGGGTAGTCAGTGGGCCTTATAAGTTCTCTCCAGGTATTGGGAGCAGTAGTGGCTACAGCCCCTTAAAGTTCAGGCTGCTGGGTTGAATCCCCACGTGCCCCAGGGCACAAATCCTTTTGCTTATGGGTACGCTCTCACCTTACCCCACTTCTTCAAAAAGTAACTCCAGAATGCCTCAGAGCAGTGTTTGAAGTGCAGCTGTGTGCGCCCAGGTTCTCTTGATCAACAAATCTAATTTCTAAGAAAGCAGGAGGACATGGTTCTTGGCAGCTTGGTCCATGGGGGCTGGCATAGGTTTGGGGGTCCTGGCTGTTAGCGCAGGGCACGGAGCCTGGTTGAATCTTCTTCCAGGGCAAGTAGCATCACACAAAGATAACCTCTGACGCCAGTCACAGACCTGGGCCAATCAATGACTGGCTTTAACCATGGCCTGAGGCCAACCCCAGTCCCTTCTGTCTCAGACACACATGTTGGAGCCTCATAGTGGCCTGCCTGCTGAAGGCCGGAGAATCGATCGGGGCAGCCCACCCTTTTGCTGACGGGCAGCTCAGGCCTGGCTCCTGGGGATCGGGGGCAGGGGGTGATTGGGGAAGCGCTATCCCATCTAGTATAGAGAACAGACGGTCAGACCCCACCCTTTCCTCCCCTCTGCAGGAAATTTGTATCAGCTACTTAGACTGCTGCCAGCGGGAGCGCAGCCGCCATAGCCGCCACAAGATCCTCAGGTGCCAGCTGGGGAAATGGCGGGCAGTGGGGCTCTGGGGTCCTCTGTCCCCATGGCTGCCTGACTTTTCACCATTCCCCACATCCCCTGCAGGGAGAACTATCTGTTTGTGTGTTCCTGCCCCAAATGCCTGGCAGAGGCTGATGAACCCAATGTGACCTCAGAGGAGGAGGAGGAGGAAGACGAGGAGGAGGAAGGAGACCCAGAAGATGCAGAGCTGGGGGATGAGATGACTGCTGTGTGATACTGCCCTGCCCAGAAGGGGCCCTACCCTAGTCCCTGCCAGAAAAGGGGGCCCTTCCTCTAGAAAAGGGGCTTGGAAGGAAGTCCCCACCCTTGTTGCCTGCTTTTCCCCCATTCTAGCCCTGTCTCTGCCAGAGGGTAGGACAGAGGATGGACCCTAGGCCCTCCACCCTCACCAGACCTCACGCCCTAGACACTGCTGCTGAGTTGGCTCAGGCTGTGCACTCTCACTGAGCCCTTCAGAATCAGCCTCCCCTTAAGGCACTCCATTCTGGGGTGTGAGGGGCTGGATCCAAGATCGAGGCCTAACCGTATTTCTTCGTCTTGGCTCGCTGCCTACCCTTACCCATCCATCTGAGTTCTCCCCTCTCAACTTGCTGTTTTATTTTGAGGGGGGTAACAAAGTGGCACAGCCTTGAAAACCCTGTGGAGCAGTTCTACTCTGCACACATGGGGTTGCCACGAGTTGGAATCAACTGGACGGCAACTAACAACAACGAAGTGGCAAATCTGAGAATAGCCTGATTTTACTGAAGCAGAAATGGGAAGGGAGTGAGGCTCGCTCCCCTTCTTCCCCATCTCCCATCCCACCTGCCACAGTTAATAGCTGATAAGACAACTGCTGGGAGTGGCACCAAGGAGGAACTGGGCCTCCAGAGCACCTTCCCTAAGGCCCTCTGATGGGGACACGGCATCAGGAAGAGGGACATTACTTTCCTCTTTGCCTCTTTCCTGCCATTTGGACATCTGGGATAGTGGAGATGGCCCCTTCCCCAGATACCAGAATCTCTGTACCTTGTGCCTTGCTCTCAGGCCCTGGCACAATGGCTGGCCCCATGGGGTAGAGAAGAGACCTGGCCTTCCTCAGATGAGGCATGTGAGGATCATCACCACTTCCTGCTGAGGACTCCAGCAGCATGGCTGAGACCTGAAGGATGACAGGCCTGTGCTCCTTAATTTAGGATGTTCTAGAGTCTTACCTGGGTCAGTGAGAGGCTCTCCTGGCCTCAATTTTTATCTTTAGGGTTTCCAGAGAGGAACACTGAAGTCTTCCAGAAACCCAGAGGAGCTGGACTAGAAACTCTGAGATTAGTCCTGACTGTATCCCCTTCTTACTCATTTAGTGCTACCCATTGTTCTCTAGTTGGGTACTGTGGGAATTACAGCCCATCACTCCCAATTTCTTCTTGCCTACCTTCCCTGAGGGGCTTGCCACATCCCTCTTCTGAGGGATCCCAGGAGGGCAGGTGCCCACCACAGACCTTTTCCTGGATCATGGAGCCTGGTGGAACCCGCCTGTCGGGCCCCCTCACCTATTGCGTTCTTCACAGCAGCCAACAGCCCTCTCCCATGCCCGCCTACCCACAGTTCTCAATAAAACGTGAGTGGTGACAGGCCTCTGCAGGAATGCTTTGTGGAGAATGGCTTGACAGGCTACCCGGGGCACCCAGCAGTCACGTTAGGTGGGTGCAAAGGGGGCATGCTACACCAGGCGGTGGGAGATGGGAACCTCAGGCTTCCCAGTTTGGGCTCATCTCCAGTCTCATCCACACTCTGCTGTGCAAATGTTCTGAAAGCTCAAAAGCAAGAGTCCTCTGAAGTCCAGTGTGGGTCCCCACTCCCAGGCTACAGGATGAATCTTCTCCCTAGGAGGCTGAACTACGGCTTCCTCAGTGCTTGAGCAGGAGACTACTGGGATCAGAGGCCAGCAATCTGGGCACGGGTCCCTAAGGACCTTGGGCAAGTCACTTATCCTCTCTGGGCCTCAATTTCTACCCCTCAGAACAAGGGTATGGGACGAGTGAGTTTTGAAGGCCCTTCCCACCCCTGTGTGCTCTTACTCTAAGACACAGTTGCAACCCTGATAAGTAGCTTTATTGCTAAAAAATCAGTGAAGGTTTATTGAGTCCCAAAACACCAGCTCCTCAAACCATTCCAGCAACTCTTGGGTGAGGGGCTGGGAATGGCATTGTGAGAAGACCCTGGGTGGGGAGGCTGGTGCCAGGTGGGATGTAGCATGTCACAGATGGCTCTCAGGCCGCCTTTTCTTCCAGATCCTAGCCAGAAGCCCTGGGGCCTGGGCAGGGAAGCCAGTGGTGCAGCTTCCCTCCTTCAGCCTAGCCAAGGCCCAAGCCTTTTCCTGGCTCCCACCCGTCCCCAAATGCTCTCCTCAACTCCAGACCAGCAGAACTCCCAGGTTTCCCCTCCCCAGCCCAGAGTTGCTTATGGCTGGAATGTGGGACCAACTCTTCTACCACAAGGTCCAGGGTGGCTGCAGCAGCTCAAAGGTAGGGATGCTGGTGACATTGACTGGGATGGAAATGATGGCCCATGGCAGCCCATGCTGTTCCAGAGAGCGGCGGATCATGTAGCTGGGAGGGCATGAAGAGAGGTGGCAATGGTCACCTTCTCAGCACCCCCATCAAGCCCTGCTGTCCCCATAGGGGAGTTCCAGAGCCCAAGGGCTTTTTTTGCCCTCCAATTGGGGCACCCCAAGATGAGGCCTAGGAGAAGGGACCAGTAATTGCCCTTGACCTCCCCGAGTCATGGCACCCAGTTGGTGCCAATACAGCCAGAGACAAGGAGCCCTCACCCATCTCGGCCGAGCAGAAAGAGGGCTGGGATGTCGGCTGTGCGCTGGGTACTGTCCTGGATCATCTCCACGTAGAAGCTGTCATTGTCAACGGCGTTGTCAGAGATAATCACCGCCCGCCCTCCATGCTCCTGTACCACTCGGGTCTTGGAGAGGAAGGAGCAGCCCCTGGAAGAGGTGGTAATGAGACTGAAGGAAAGGGTCCTAGCTACCCCTTTCCAGACCATCACCTGTGTGGATGGAAGAAGAACCATGGAGGGTTTTTTATAATGGCTAATAATAGCCAAAAGGTATGGATAATCTTAAGATGGTTTTAAAGACCTTTAAACAATGAATTAGCCCCAGAAAAGCTGTTTCAAAGCACCACTAACAACTATGATCCCCGAATCTGCCCTATGCGTGCTCTCCCCTTGTGTCCACATCTGCCTGCGCCTTACCCCCTCTCCACCAGAGCGATTTGGTCCTGGATGAAGAAACCGTTGCTGAGTTCCCCGCAGGCCTCTGGGGGTTCGGCAGGGACAAGGTGGATCTGCTCATACCTTGTGTGCTGAAAGACATTCAGGTGGATGACCGTGTGAAAAGACACCCGCTTTTGGACTGGGCTGACATCCCATCTAACTGACTCCCCACAGAGTGTGAAGGAAACATGGAGTGGTTTCTGTGTGCAGGGCACTGAAGCACTGTAATTCTCACAAAGGCCTGATTGTCCTACTCTACCCTGCTTTTCTGGGAGACGGGAGTTGGTGTGGACCCAGAGAGGGGAAGTGACTTGCCTTAAATCACATAGTTCAGAGGTAGAGCTGGCAGAGGAAGCTGTGCCCTTGGTTTCTCACTATGTTATGACAGCCTGTCCCTCCATGGTGCCCAGGTCTGTGCTAGACCCACGAGAGGAGCTGGAAGCATTTCCTCCCTGCACTGCAGCCCCTGGAGGGCACAGCTGGATTCCGCTCCCTTCCCTGGCCCAGCACTGGGCCATGGCGGCACTCAGGTACTGGTTAAAGGGATGAGAGGGACACCTCAGCTCAGTGAGGACAGGAGGAAGACAGGGTCAAAATGGAGGGGGCCTCCTGAAACTTACAAAGATACCACCGAAGTCCTTGGCAGGTGTGGCTGTGAAGATGTATCGAATGTCCCCAGGACTCAGCACTTGGAAGTACAAGTAGTCATGGATGTGTAAGCCTGAAGGACAAAAGGTATAGGTGAGAGGCTTCCAGGGAACAAGTTGGTTCAGGTTCAGACCATGGACTCTGGGTCTGAACCTGGGCTGACTGGGCCCCCCAGGAGGGTGAGGTAGATGGTCTCTGCCTGGGGAGGATAGAGTTCATGCAGATAACAATAACCCCAGAGATTTATAGCTGCTGTTCTAGTGTTATCTCTCTGGTGAGTTAATCCATGTTTGCTCTGAAGTGGGCCTGGGAGTTTCAAGGTGGAGATGTGGTGGCCTAGGTACAAAACAATTCTCACTAAAACTTAGAATTGAATCTCTGTTCCCACTGCCATTCCCCTAGTCCAGCCACTCTCTTGCCCTGACTGTTGCAGCTTCTTAACTATCTGCCTCCATTCTTGCTCCCTAAGGTTCATTCTCCAAATAGCCAGAGTTATCTTAACACACAAACACGACCATGTCATCATCCCCAGGACTTCAATGACTTCCCTTTGCACTTAAAATCGAATTTAACTCAACCACAGCCTACAAGATGCTGCTTGATCTGGCCCCTGGCCACTACTCCAACCTCATCTCCTCACTATATCCAAGCTACGCTGGCCTTTCAGTTTCTTGACCATCCAAGTGCTTCACTTCTTCAGGTCTTCCTCCAAGCTGTTCTCTCTACCTGGAAGGCTCCCTACCCCCACCCACCCCACCTATTTACCTGGCTCACTCCTATGCATCCTTTGGGTCACAACTTAAATGTCACTTTCTCAGAGAAATTTTGTGCTCTATGACTGCCTTCCCCTAATGCCCATTCAAAATGAGCAACCCTTGTACTTTTCCCCATTGACATTTTCAATGTAATTCGTAACTGTATTCATATTCATTACTGCATCCCCAGTGTTTAACATAGTGCCTAAGATACAACGGGTGCTCAATAAAGGTCGATGAATGAACAACTATTTCTGGCTCCAATACACTGAGGAAGAGAATTGCCAGAGCAAACAGATTTTCCTGGGGTGTGGGAACTTCTTTTCAGCACCAAACTTTAATATTTTACCTGGCCTTGAGCCCCTGGTTTCCTTAGCCATAGGTCAATTAGTCAACAAATTACCAAGACACTAGCGTGTGCCAGACTTTGGGCTGATTGGACTTTAGTTGTCCTTGCCTACTGCCCAAATCACTGCCACCAGGTAGCGCTCCATTGGCTTGGCACTGGGCAAATAGCCTCTTGACCTGGGAGTGGGGACTCTTCATCTAATACAGATGCACTTCCAGGAATCCTTCCTGGATTAACACTAAACCCCCCACCCCCACCTCCTTGCCTGGCCTCTGCATCTGTTCATCTGTGTAAATTAACTGTGAGTGTATATATACATATATATATACACCCACACACCCACACACATATATAGGGTGGCTATGAGTCGGAACTGACTCAACAACACCTAACAAACAACATACACAGATATACATATATATACACATACATATAAGATACATACATATATATAAAAAAACCCAAAACCAAACCTGTTGCCATTGAGTTGATTCGCTCATAGCGATCCTGTAGGACAGAGTAGAACTGTCCTATACAATTTCTAAAGAGCGCCTGGTGGATTCGAACCGATGACCTCTTGATTAGCAGCCGTAGCACTTAACCACCACACCATCAGGGTTTCCATACATGTATATATATGGCTGTATGCGCGTATGTGCTTGTTTAAGTGCTAACAAATTGCGTGTATGTGTGTGCGAGCCCAGGTGTAGGACTATGAGCTTCTGTATATGTGTCTGAGTGCTCACATACACATCTCCAGCTTGTAGTATTTTCCAGCTGTCCCTTGTGCCTCGTCCTGGTCGCAACCTGGATCGGGCTAGTATGGGGTGATCGGTTCTGCTTCAACGTCGGGGGCTGAGGACTCAGAGCCCAGCCTTGGGCTGCGCCCAGTGCATGCCCCTGGGGATCAACACCCACCCGCGCCAGCCGTCTGTCCCCGCACCTCCCCTGCCCCGAACTCGCGGGGTCTACAAGGTGACCCGTGGCCCCCAACCGGAGATACGCGCAAGCTGGGCGGCCTGCCCCGCAGCGTAGTTCCGCCCGTTGCTCACCGTGGACCGCGACGCATGCGGGGAACAAGAGCACGAGACAACACCAGCCCGCGGCCCCAGGGACCATTTCCAGGCCCCAGCCCGGCTCTGCGTTTTCTCACGGCGCCCCGCCGCGCGTCCTTCGCTGGACTTCAACCTGATAGCTGCTCCGACCTCCCGCCCACAGATCCGCTCTCTTGGCTAGTTGGCTAACGGGAACGAGGCCCACGGCCGATTGGCTTGACTGCTGCTCATATAGCCACCCTTTCCGCCTCTGCGCCTTAGCCTACTTCCCATTGGTCAAGAGAAGTGGGGCCGACGGCTGATTGGTTTAAACTCTGAACAGCAATTACCAGCCCTCACCTCAGCCCCGCCCTGAGATTTCTCAGTTTGGGTTCGACTTGTCAAGGCTGAGTCGACTTTTGGGCGGCTCGGGAGGAGGGAGAATATGGGTTGGGCACCCAGCATGACTCGCTTCAGCCGCCTAAAACCCCTGGCAGTTAGTTCCTGCTGTCTCGGCCGGATCCTCTCCGTGTCAGCTTCACACGGCGACATTTACCTTCTCCCAGGCGCGAGCAAGCTGTTTTCTTCCTTTCCTCCAACCCGCACCACCCCCACGGGAAGGCAACTGTCTAGCGCCCAGGTGGCCCACCGGTCTTGGCTCGGCGTTCAAGGCCTGCCACTCTTGTGCCCACTTGCATCATTACTTGCCCGCTCACTAGATGTAGGCGCTGGGAACGCGGCCTGATCTACCCCAGCCGCGAGGCTTACCACCCTGCCTTGTTATCACGCTTAACTGTGTGCAACTGTGACTTTGGACACCATTTCTTAACCTCTCTGAGCCTCAGTTCCTTCATCTGTAAAAGAGGTATAATAATAAAACCAGAAAAACCAAACCCGTTGCTGTCGGGTCCGACTCATAGTGGCCCTATAGGACAGAGTAGAACTGGCCCGCAGGGTTTCCAAGGAACGGTTGGTGGAGTCGAACTGTCGACCTTTTGGTTAGCAGCCAAAAGCTTAACCACTGCGCGACCAGGGCGCTTAGGTATAATATTACCTACGCAATAGGGTTGTTAGGATTGAGATCATTCGCGTAAACTGCTTATTTAGCATAGGCCTGTTTCACAGCGTTCAGTAAATGTGTGCGTTTATTGCACTCCTTGGTCCGGTGTCCATTAGGGGATGGGGCGGAATCAGGGTTAGTAGGTGACGAGGGCGAAGTAAGAAGCCTACACGCTCGAGGAGAAAAATGCACCACCGGAATCAGGCGACTCCTCTAACTCCTCCCGTACCGGGAACTACAAGGCCCTCTGAGGCCCAGCCTCTGGCCCTTCTAGCCTTGCCGACTCTGTGGTAAGCGAGCCATAGAGTGGCGGAAGTCGCCCGTCCCCTTCCTCTCCCGGCACAACGCCTTGACGAAGCTTCTGGGGACTTCTTTGGCGCGGGGGATTGTGGGGTTGCTGGACGGCCCGGAGCCGGTGAAGAGAAGAGGAGGAGCGGGCCACTAAATAAACTTCCAAAATGATGGTGAGTGGCGGCTAGCGCATCCGTCGCCATCCTCTGCCATCCGGCCCGTTGCTGGCACCGCCTGGCCGGGACCCACCCGGTAGAGCCCTCTCCTGCCTACCAACTCTGTCTCCACCCCGACCCCAGCCTGTGCGCGACCCTGGCCCGCCGCGGCCTGGCTCGATCAGGGCACGGAGCAGGGGCCGTTGGCGAGGGCTACATGGGGCTCCAGGAGAGGCTCTGGTCGGGTCGGCTGGGGACTACAAGTCCCAGGGTGCTTCGGGGCCCCGAGCGCGCGTCGGGGACCTGGGGACCCGGTTTTTGGGGTCTCCCCCTCCGGACCTGTGTGAAAGGAGTGCGGGTTGGGCGTGCTTATGCGGTTGGCGGCTGGGAAGCCGGCCTACCTCGGGGAATGCTGGATGTAAAGACGCTGTGTACTTCCTAAAACGGGCAGAGGCAGCATAGGGACCTGATACTGAGCTGAGCCCAGGATTCCCCTCTGGTCGCTCCCTGTCCCCCAGCCTATCCGCTGCAGCATAAATTGAAACAGACTCCTCCGTTTCTTATTTTCATTCATTTACACACTCGTTCATTCGTTAAATAAACATGTATTTAATGTCCGCTGAATGTACCAGACTCAGCTTGTCTCAGGGACTGCAGCTCCTCAGCCAGAATGGGCAGGGTATACGAGGAAACCGCACTCAGAGGTTGGAAGACCCGGGCTCTGACCCCCGACCTCCTGGTGCGACATTAGACTTTTCTAGTCGGCCCTTAACTCCGAGTCGTTTCCTTAGAAAAGAGGGCTGGTGGATCCTGGAGCTCTCCCTCTCCCGCAACACCCCGTTTCTCCATCTCAGAGCTGCATGTCTCCCAAACCTAGGTAGTATCTACTGAGTTACCATTGAGCAGGGACAGCTCTTAAGGAGGTTTTTGCTGGCAAAACTCTTAAGTTATTCTCTGTGCACCTGGCAGTTCTCTCATTCATTTTGGACTCTCAGTCTGACTCTGTTCTCTGTTCTTTTCCTGCTTCCTGCAGCTTCTCCCTGCCCTGGTAAATGTCAGACTGACACCTGTGAGGTATTCATTTTGCTACCAAATGCCCTGTGAATCCAGCTTGTGCCCAAGATAGAAGGAACCTATAGTGTATCTGCAGCCCTCTCCCGGCTTTGGACCTCCAGCACCACCCTTTGTCAATCCCCTTTCAATACTACGTGTTCTTAACGTCGTCTTCACTTTCTGGACAGAGGCAGCATAGTAGAACAGTTGAGAGTCAGGGCTCTGGAGCCATACCAAATGCCTAGGTTTATAACTCAGCTCTCCCATTTACTAGCTGTGTGACTTTGAGTGGGTTACTTAATTTCTGGTCCTCAGTCAGTTAGAAGAGAGAGCAATGAATAGAGTATTGTTATATAGGATTAAATGAATTAATACGTGTAAAATGCTTAGAGCCATGCCTGGCATGTAGTAAGCACTCAGCAAATGTTAGCTATTACTCAGCTAGGTGGTTGCTTACTTCCCTTTTCTCCCTATAGTCCATCCTGCTGCCAAGGCTACCATAAGAGCTTAGGTTGGCATTCAAAGAACTGGGAATCAGAACCCAGGTTCTTCTGTCTGATAATAAAACTCTTCACCTGGGGACTCCAGACCACTGCACTTAGATTTTTTCTGAACTGACCCTTACTCATCTCTGTCATATTGACCCTATTTCCCTGCTCTCTTGGTTGTTGAGCTCTCTCTTCCTCTTGGAATGTGAAACTTGTTTCACCAGGAATCCTCCTTGCTGTCATCTGATTGATCCCTGATATTCTAGAAGCCTCTTAGAGGGTCCCACAAATCTTCAGTCCTGTGATTATTGTACAGCATGTAGATCCCTGCCTTTGTGGTGCTAAGTACTGTCTGCTTTAGCATATGAGTATGTGTTCTTGTTTTATAGAACAAGTTTTATAGAACAAGTGCTTAATAAAAGTTTTTAAGGAGGATGAAGAGGAAGATCATTAAGCTAAATTTTTTAAGCCTTCCATGATACCCTTGGCAGATTACTGGATTCTGCTTTGTTCCTTGAGTGGGGTTGGAAAGTAATTTAGGCACAGAAGCTGGGCTTTCCAAAGCAGTGCTTAGCCCTGAGGAAATGCTAGAAAAGGACCCGTCCTGCTTGACAAGGCTTGGCTCAGTCCAGCTCTGCTACCTCTTCTGGGATCTCTCCTCTACCTCGCTTGCCATTTCTATAGGGCCTACAAAGCATGCGCAGCTTGGGGAATGTACGGTCAGCTGCTTCCAAGTCCTTACGTTGTAATTTAGGAGTTCTCAGTGTATTTAGTGTCACCATACTGCCAACTCTTTTCTGAAATAAGAAGCCACTGCTATCTTATTTCATGGCTCGTATCAAGCACTTTCTAGTATATGATGATGATGATGTTGGCTGTCGTCTAGTTGGCCCCTGACTCATGGTGACATCATGCACAGTCGAACAAAATGGCTGCCTGTTATGATATATAGGGTTTTCATCGCTGGTTTTTAGAAGTAGATAGATTGCCAGGCCTTTCTTCCTACTCTTAATCTGGAAGCTCTGCTGAAACCTGTTCAGCATCATAGCAACAGGTAAGCCTCCACTGACAAACCGGTGGTGGCTGCACATGAGGTGCAAACCAGAAAAACCAAACTCACTGCCATTGAGTTGATCTCCGACTCGTAGTGACCCTATAGGGTTTCCAAAGCGGTAAACCTTTACTGAAGCAGACTGCCACATCTTCTTCCACATACATCAGGTGCGTTGGCAGGAATTGAACCTGGGTTGCCCATGTGGAAGGCAAAAATTCTATCACTGAATTACCATTGCCCCCTCCAGTATATGTAACAGTTGAAATTTTAGCACCAAAAGCTGCTGAATGTTTCACGCATGGCCAAATCTAGCCATTCTACAAACAAAGGTTACTATGTTCCTTACCTTTGGGAAGCTCATACATGAAAATGGATGGGGATGTAAAGGTTGTAGGCAAGGGTAAGTGAAGGGACATTTATGGGACCCGCTGTTCAGCATACTTCTGTTAGCTTCTATAGAGAAAACTTCTTGGGAGAATTGGTGCTCTTGAGAATTGATAGCTTTGTGTTAAGAAAGTGGTTTTGGTAGAAAGTGGCAGGTTGGCTCTTACTAGATGTAGGTACGATTTCAGATGGAGTCCCTGGGTGGCGCAAATGGTTATGTGCTTGACTACTAGCTAAAAGATTGGTGATTTGAACCCACCGAGAGGTGCCTGGGAAGACAGGCCTGGTGATCTGCTATGGAGCAGTTCTGCTGTGCACACGTGAGGTTGCCATGAGTTGGAATTGACAGCAGCTAACAACAGTTTCAAGGTTGGGGTAAGAAAAAATTTACAAAAGTATTGGATAAGCCAGCCTGTTGGATTGGTGAAAGAACCTGTTGAAGGTGGTAGGAAGGGATTGAGTCCCAAGTTAGTTTTTTTTTTTAAAAAGTGTGATACTCCATCCAGGATAGAGATGGACTCACCAGAGAAGACTCGAGGTGGCCGTGAGGAATGATTTAGCAGGATTGGGAGAACATTGGGTTCCCTTACAGAAGGTGCCAGGCACCACGCCAGCTGAGGGGCAGGAAGGAGTGCTGGGAGAAGCCATTTCTTGCCAGCAGAACTGGGGCACTACCAGGAAAAGTGTCCAAGGTACCATGCCTGGCCCCAGATTTAGAGGGTTATCTGACAGGCAGTCTTTAAAAAATTTTTTTTAAAAAATGAGTAATGTACAGTATGTTCATTAGAAAAAAGTTGAAAAGGAGCCCTGGTGGCACAGTGATTATAAAAATAAAGAGTACAAAGTGTCAAAACCCTCTTTGTCCCCACTCCCTTACTCCTCAGTTTTTGGGG